AGATATCAAATCCATAATTGTTTGATCCCTCTAACTTGTGAAGCAATTAGGTTTATTAATTTGCTGCGTCAAGAATTAGTAATCTTAAGAGGAACACTCGACTAAATTAAATGCAATCGCTTGAGTTTGTGTTGTTTAGCTTCATCGATCTCTCTAGTTCTTAAGGCTGCCACTAGCATAAATCTTTAGCGCTTGTCTAGGGTTGTTTAGTAGTAAGGTTAATTAAGATCGCTTGTTTCCTAATTAATTACAACTAAGGAGGGATAGGAAAATAGTTCCAACGGTGAATATTCAGGTATGAATTGATTTAATTTTGCATCAATGATCAGTTGTAAGATTCTGATGGTGGATGTTGACGGAGACCAAGTTTCGTTATATTAATTGATTTCGAATTGAATTGTTTTTGTTTTTGTTTTTGTTTTTTTGGCTAAGATTGTTTTCTGTACTCAAAACCCCCCGGCCTTATTCACATCATTGAAAATTCGGCTAGACACTCTTCGTGGGATCGACCCTTGCTTACCCTATTTATAGTTCAGTAGTTAGGTTAGGAAGGTTTTTAATCTTGGTTGCTTACGACAGCAGACCAAGTATGCATGCATAATGTTTGATGAAATGTCCAAGAGAAGTGTATGCATGAGTGTATTTATTTGTGATCTTAACATGAGCTTGTAAATGATAGAGAAATACTTATTTTTATGCTACATGGCATCCTTGCATTAGATATTTACATTTAGAAAGAATAATGAGCATGAATCATCTACATGCAATCATATGCATATGTATAAGAACTTAAACAATAAAGAACTTAAAGAATAAAGAGAAAGAAAGAAAAGCACTAAAGAACAAAAAGAAAGAAAGAAGAGTGCTAAAGAAGAGAAAAGAAAGGTTGTTGCAATGGGGAACCCGTGGGTGATAAGAAGAAGAATATTCCCACATGCACGCCACCTTCAGTGAGCAGCCTAAGAATAAGAAGAAGAATTTGTACGGCCTGTAAGAGTGTGTGTGGATGAGGGCTGTACCCAGGAGAATATACCTACATGCATGCCACCTTAAATGAGTGGCCTAAGAAGAAAAGAATTCGTACAGTCCGTAAGAGTGCATGCAGATGAGGACTATACTCACTCACACAGCCTGGGTTCCGAATCCATGCATCAATTAAGTCCGATCGGCAAAGAATAAGAAAGAGTAAGAAAAGAAAAGAAAGAAGAGAAAAGAAAAGAAGAGAAGAGAAGAAGAAAGAAACATAGAAAACAGAAAGAAAACAGAATAAGAAACAGAAAAGTAGAAAGAAAATGCATCTCTACGCATTTGTGCATTTGCATCATACTTATGCATGATACCATGATTTCTATCATGGGTAGTAAGAAAGTGATAAAGAAAGAACATAGAGAACTAGAAAGAAAGAACAAAGAAAGTGATAATAAAAAGAACAGTTAGAATTAAGAAGAAGAAAAAGAGTAATGTAAGGAAAGAATTTAGAATATGAGCAACGGATAGCGTAGCAGATTTACTTACTGAGCAACTAGTGTTCACCCCGTTGTTTCTAAATGTTTTTGCAGGAAATAGGTGAGAAGCGATTGGATGGATGTCGAGAAGCGGAGAGAAATGGCACCACTGTCCACAGTTTCCAAGCTAATGTATATGATAATTTTGTTATGTAAAGAGTTTAATATATTCAGTAAAGAAAATTTTTGGGCCCATTACTTTTCATTTTTATGCTTATGTATTTTTATCATATTATATTTTCCAAGTATACTAGCTAGAAAGAGTCATTACACAGATGTTGTGTGTGATTTTTCCGTCAAGCTCGGATAATCACGAGGTTATAGCTCGCCGCGGAACCTGCCTGACTCAAGTGATTGTCTGACCTTGTCAGGTTGTAGCTCAACCTAGCACAAGCTAGTCGTGACCAATCCTCACAAGTGTTCAACCAACTCACAAATAACTTTAGATCCCAGGTATCTCAAAAAGGATCAAATTGACAAAAATCTTTGCAAAATCACAACACTCAATCACGAGAATATCGGAGTTGCATTTCAAACTTATTTGTAATCCCTTTATTTTCGCTATTTCCTTTGTACAAAATCTACCACCCCACCCCCCCTCCCAATGAGGAGAAAAGGGTTGGCAAATTGTTCTAAGACTGTCATTGTAAACTCTCACAGCAAATATAAAAACAGTGGACGTAGGCTCAAGAGTTCAACTCGCCGAACCACTTTAAAAACTTTCTTGCCATTTACTTCACCGCATTTTATTGTTTATTCTTTGCTGGTTATTTGTAATCGTGCACACATCAGTTCCGATCCTGCCAAAGTCGATCGGATCACTCTAGTTGGTGTATTTTTGCATCAACAAAGAGTGTTAGCAACTGTAATAAACACTATTCTCTTCAAGTTACGTGTATTCATAAATCAACGCGTATTATTGCTAGAATTCCTCAAATTTGAAACCACCATAAAAGATTGGAATTAACTTGCTTGATAGACGGGGTTGTGTGAACATTGTGTAAATGGGAGACAAGAGACTTTGAAGATTAGAATTATGTCGACAATGCAAGTCTTTAGATTCATTAGTTCTTTCATTTTCAGAGCGTTGGCTTTTTGGTTTAAGACTTTTGTATGAGAATCAGATGCATGTGCTCCTGTCTTTTTTGTTAAAGAAATCGAAAAATGAATGGTTGAAGTGAAACGAGGAATCTAGCTTGTGGGACTTTTTATTATTGTTTTGAAACTAGAATTGGACCAATCAGTCAGATCAGTTCGATCAAGAACCGGCCACAACTCCGGTTTAATGCTAGACCCGTTACTACATTAAAAATCACTTTGGACTGTGGTCGGACTTGAAGAACAGTACCAAACCGTCAATCCGACCGGTCTGTGACCTAAACTAGGTCACTAATTATTTCCGAATCTGAACCCTTTTTTTTTTTGGTTGCATTTGCATTTGAATCTTTCTTCATTTCAATCGGTTCCCCTCAGATCCTTCGCCATACTCATAACCTTACCAAGGAGCCTAGCAAACCACGACAACTGAGCCAAAAAGGAACACAAAACAGCAGCAGACCCAAAAAAAAGAGGCAGCAAACTAACAATAAAACACAGCTTGAGAAAAAAAAAGGGGAGAATCAAAGACTGTGGAACTAGAAAAAGAAACAAATGTTGCACAACAAAAGCTGAAAACACACGAAGAATACAACCAGCAGTCTTCTCAAAAATAAACATAGCACAACACTATCCCAGTTGTAGCACATCCCACCCATAATGCCATCACGCCGATAATGAAAAACCTTCTGCAGAAACATCAGAGTTGAACACCCTACTTGAAGGCTTCTCTCTTGAACCATTCAACTTCATCATTCAGTGTGGCCAGTCCCCCCAATATAACTTATGTATCACCGTAACTATCGTCTGATTCTTTCCATGCTTTCACCAGAACGCTTGCCACAAAATTACAAATGGAGCAAACTCCCTAACAAATAAATAATCTTGTCGCTGTATTTGAATTGCACCAAGAAATTTGAAACTAAATAACTGAATTCTAAATTTGTAATAATATTAAACTTGCAGTTGCAGAACAAACTAACCATGTTTTGAAGGAGGAGAGATCGATGGTGCCATCAAGAATGCTGTGGATGAAGGGATGCCGAGNATGTGGTGGAGGAAGTAGCGATCTTTGTTTGTTTTGGATAGGTAAATAGAGAGAAAGAGAACTTACCTTGAAAAGATAAAATTTTAAAAAGGATGTAAAAAATCGCAGGGGTGTGTTTGCTACATTTTAAGCTTGCAGGGATTGACAAAATTTTATAGGGGTCTGTTTACTAGATTTCAAACATATAGGGACTAATTGAGTTTCTCGGAGATGTGTTTGCTTGACACCAGTTAGACCAATCAACCCAAAACTGGGCCCCTTGACCAGGTCAACGGATGCTTCGAGTTTAAAAACATCAGTCATAACTAGACAAAGAGATATATTAAGAAGAAAAACCAAATGTTTTTTTTTGTTTTTTAATTACTTTGTGAATGTTCTCTTAGATGTATTAGCTGGCATGACACATATAAATTAGTGCTGTGAAGATTCCAAGTAAATTTTAAAATGCAGCCGTTCAAGATTTATGAAATATAAGGGTCATGTACAAATAGTTAGATACAAAGAAATGTAATTTAAGGCTTTTAAGCCCCGGTTTGACTTGAATAATTGCATCGATAGCTTTACCAAAAGAAAGCCAAAAGAAACACATTTTACAATTGCATTTTTAGAACGCAACCGGCCAGGTTGAATTTTTGTTAAGTTGTAATGAATGTAGCTATATCACTTGGATTTTCTAACGTCCCAAAGAACTTAAAAACAGGTTAACTACCTTAATATGGGTTTAAAACAATTTCCTCCTGAGGTTTGGGGAAACTATAAAGGCACCCAAGGGTTTCGGATAGTAACAAATGCACTCAAAAAATTGATTACCTTGCTATACAAAGTCTATAATACCATTTGTCAATTATATATTATTTTCCATTTTTATTTCTTCAATTATTATATAGTTAAAATAAAAATTTAAATGAATCTAAAACTTCGTTTTGGAAAAAATTTAGTATCATTTATCTTATTATACTTAACTCCATTTCATTTATTTAAGTATGTAATTTAATTATATACAAGTCTTACTTTATTTTTAGTTAATTGTATAAATTAAATAATTATTTAATTATTTATATATATATATATTAATTATAATTTATTATATAAAATTGGTTAATAAAAATTAATATTTATATAGTTAAAATAAAAATTGAAAAGAATATATAATTAGGCAAAGGGTATTATATTCTTTATATGGTAAAGTAATCAATTTGTGGGTACATTTGTTACTTTCCGAAAACCTTGGGTGTATTCTGTTTTAATCAAAGCTTTAGTGTTATAAATCCTACCTTTAGTATTGTCGTCCTCTCAGTCTTACCTTATATATATTGTGAACTGATGCCATGCAAATTAAGGCAATTTAAGCAACAAGAAGATGAAGCTAACATTATTTTCAAAGCTGCTTCTTCTCTCCCTTTTGGCATCACTTAACTTTATTGAGGCCAACCAAGCTGATAATCTTCAAAGGCTGATTAAGTCTAAAAGATGGAGAAACTCTTTTCAGGCAAATTCTCAAGAGGAATCAAGTGTAAAACAAGAGTATAGTCCTGTGTATATTGGGACTCAGGATGGTTCAATGGAACTTGACAAGATTACTACATTGCCTGGCCAACCTAATGGTATAAACTTTAGTCAGTACTCAGGTTATGTGACGGTTGATCCTCAGGCTGGAAGAGCATTGTTTTACTATTTTGTTGAGTCACCTCACAATTCTTCAACCAATCCTTTGGTTTTGTGGCTCAATGGAGGTAATTAATTAATTAATAATAGTCTCTTTCAGCTATGTCTATCCGCATGAATATACGTCTATCCGCATGAATATACGTATACAGTTGGTGACATGTAACATTGATATATATATTTTTGTTTAACTCAAACATAAGTAAAATAGTTGATGTGTTTAGAATTGGCATTATTCATCATATAAAAATGTGTTAATGTTATTATAATCATCATATTTTAATTATTATTTCCTCTGTTTTCATTTTCTTATCTTAAATTTGTCCTATCTTTTGTTTTGCTCGCATAGCTACTAAATAACTATTTTTGATATTTTCAGGACCTGGATGTTCGTCTTTTGGGTATGGGGCTATGACTGAATTAGGACCCTTCAGAGTAAATAGTGATGGCAAAACACTATTTCAAAATGACTATGCATGGCACAATGGTAAGCAAAATTTATCAAGATAATTGTATATACCCCTCTAGAGTTTGGGTTTAGTATTGTCCTAACCATGTAGTTTAAACCACTAAGATAGGCTTTCTCTAATTCTAAGAGACGTTAATCCATGTAAGGGTAGAACACCCGTCTCTCCATAAAATATGTTGTTTCAGATTTATGATTTGATTAGGGATTGTTAGTTTGAAAGGGGTATTTCCTAGTGTTTGAAAGGCTAGGACCTTGACGTTATTAGACCAAAAACTTAGGGTGGATTAATCCTTTCTCTCCAAATCTATGACTCATCATTCATATTTAACTTTTCACTTCATTTTTCATCAAGACAACAACGTAACAACCATAAAACTTACTTTTTTTCTTTTTCAAAAAATGTCAGTGGCAAATGTAATCTTCTTGGAATCTCCAGCTGGGGTAGGCTTTTCATATTCAAATACATCTTCAGACTATGACCACTCAGGTGATAATACAACTGCAGTTGATGCCTATACATTTCTTGTCAACTGGCTGGAGAGGTTCCCTCAATATAAAACAAGGGATTTTTTCATAACTGGAGAGAGCTACGCTGGTCACTATGTCCCTCAGCTTGCAAACACCATTCTGCTCCACAATAAATACTTAAATCAAACTGTTATCAATCTCAAAGNCGGCATTAAATATAAAGTATAACTTCTCTGTTATTATTATTTGGATTAATAAAGATGAACTATTCATAAGAAATATAAAAAAAAGATTAAATTAAGAATTCAAATCACAATATCACAGCTCATTCTTAAAATAGAATTATAAACTTCTTCAAGGGTCAAAATCTTACAATTGCCTTTCAGTGATGTTGAGATGTAAAGTGTTTGATTTTGACGGTTAAGAATGTTTGTCCTCTTTATTGACTTTTGGGGTTTGAATCACTTTGAAATCATATATTTGTGGCTTACCTTATAACATTGAGTTTATAGGTGTTCAATAGACCTCCAGGATTAGTTAAGATGCGTACAAGTTCACCTAGACGTTTCGTTCATAAAAAAAAAAAAAAACAGAAGTTATGAATTCTAAAAGTTGGGAATTTTTTTTTTCTCATATTAGTTATGGTAACACATTCAATGTAACTACAATATCATTTAGTAATTCCTAGTAATTGTTTATATCCTTTAGGGGGGTTTGGTTGGGGGTTATCTGTGATTACTAGGGTTAAGTCATCTTATATTACTTGATTACCATGTTTGTCAAGTAATATAAGATACTGATAATCTTTAAATACCAATAGTGGTTACTATTTGTAATATTGGAGGTAATCTGATTACCTTTATTTTCTTAGGTATTTTAAGATTACTAGGGTTATCTTTTTGTGTTACAATTATATCCCTTATTAATAAAATTTTAGGACAATAATGCCCTTATTTTTGAATTTATTTACATGAATATGACTTTTACTATTTCACCCCAATTAATTAACATTTTGGACAAAACTACCCCTAAATTCAAAACAAATTACAGCCCATCCAAGCCACCACCCCCACCCACTTGTCGCCGGCAACCACCGCCGTGGCCGTCGGAACGGCGCACGGAAGGCCGAAAATGGCCGTTGTGTACCGATATGGCCATTTCTGGCCGTTAACGGCCAGATCGATAGACGTGGCCGTCAATGACCATCGATCTGGCTGTTGACTGCTAGATCGACGAATCTGGGCTTTGATAGTCAGATCGATGGCCGTTAACGGCAGCGTCTATGGCCGTTAATGGCCATTGATCTGGCCGTTGCGGCCAGATCTGTCACGTCTGGCCATTTCCGGCCAGATCTCTGGCCGAAAATGGCCATACGGTGCACGAATGCCATTTCCTATCTTCCATGTGCCGTTAGATTGCCGGCTGCTGGCGGCCTGCAGTGGTTTCAGACGGCTGGTAGTGGCTGGGTTGATGGGGGTGCTTTGTTGAATTTTCAAACTTTTATTATATGGTTGTTTTTGCTAAGTTTTTAAATGTAGGGGGGTTATAGTAATCCAAATTTAAAAAAATAATATAATAATAACATTTAATTAGAGGACAATTTAGTAATTTAAATAACATACCTACCAATTTATTCCTCCAAACCAAACATATTAATATACAATACCCACCAATTAACCAAACACATTTTCCTAAAGATTCTTAGTAATCTTCAAGGTAATATATCTTTTCAGTAATCCAACATTCCCTGAATCAAACGACCCTTAATATTCTAGATTTTTTATAATTAAATTGATAAAAAGGAATGATGCTTCAGAAAAATCTCAAAGTCGGCATGAATTATAAGGAAATTAGATTTACATAAGCAATAAGATTTTTTCCATATAAGATATATAATATGTCAAATCAAGGAATGATTTAGATAACAAAATGGCATTTACATACACATTAGATTTAGTCTATAAGATATAGTGTATTAATAAATAACATATAACATGTCAAATCAAGGAATGATTTAGATAACAAAATGGCATTTACATACACATTAGATTTAGTCTATAAGATATAGTGTATTAATAAATAACATATAACATGTCAAATCAAGGAATGATTTAGATAACAAAATGGCATTTACATACACATTAGATTTAGTCTATAAGATATAGTGTATTAATAAATAACATATAACATGTCAAATCAATATATGTTTTAGATAACAATTACACGTTAAGATTTAGTCGACGAAAAAGGTGCGGTACTACAAATCAATGTATGTTCATTTATATAATTTTTGCAATTTAATAATTATCAATCACGTCTAATTTACTAATAAGTTTGCGTAACAATAAGGCTAACACTCAATTATATATTTAGAATTTATAAATAAGTCTCAATCATAAAAACTTAAGTCTTACAATTTAAAGTAAAATCTAAATAATCATTTAATATCTTAAAAAGAATTAATAATATGTTTATATAGGGTGGTGACAACTAGCCATATTCTCAATAAATAAAGAAATAAAATCCAAACTAATTAAGAAAAGAAATCCTAAATAAAATAGGAAAAAATGCGCAAAAAACTTAAATGACCCTTAAACATGTTGAAATAGTAGATTTTGGGCTCGAAAACGACCTTCAATCAGGGAGCCAGGTTGCCACGTTGTCGGGCTCAAAACAAGCTTTCCATTGACATATTATAAGCCTTGTAACTCTTTCCGGATCAGAAGTTACAATTATTTTGAGTTAGTCTACTTGCGTTTGGGCTTCTGACGCCTAGCTCTCTCTAAGAATTCATCTACTACACGTTTTACGTCATTTATGCACAGATAAAGAAAAAAAAAATTACAATCCTTAGATGTTGTATTCTAAATTATTTTGTAAACACATTCCACTCCGGTGGCTCACTATAACAAAAGGGCTTTTAGCTACAATTTTGTTAGCGACGATTTCAAAATTCGTCACCAAAGATAACTATTAGCGAAAAAATATGAAATTGGATGCCAATAGTTTCGCAGACTTTCTAATCCTCGCATGAGATGGTGGGAAGCAAATTGGTGACGGATTTAGTGACGACATAATTCGTCATACAATGTTTTTGCCAATGAAAATAAAAAAGAGACGCCCAAGTTGTTTCGTGACGTAACTATATGTTGCCATGAATACTTTTAAAAGGCAAAACTAATACAAAACGTAGCCAAAAGTATTTAGCAACGCAAATGCATGGCGCCATAAAATGTTTTTGGCGATGAAAATATATAAAGCGACGCCAACGAAGTTTAGCTACGCAACAAAAGGTTCGTCGTAACACCTTTTTGGCGATGAAAATATAAAAAACGACACAAAATCCATTTGGCTACGGAACAAATTGTGCGTCAGGAAGCATTTTTGGCGATGAAAATATAAACAACGACGTAAAATCCATCTAGCTACGCAACAAATTGTGCATCAGGTAACGTTTTTGAGGACGAAAATATAAAAAATGACGCAAAATCCATCTAGCTACGCAACAAATTGTTCGTCAAGAAACGTTTTTGGCGACGAAAATATAAAAAACGACGCAAAATCTATCTAGCTAAGCAACAAATTGTTCATCAAGAAATGTTTTTAGCGACACAAATATAAAAAACAATGCCAAAAATGTATTGTGACGCAATCTATGTTTTCTCGTGAAAATGTTTTGGTGTCAATTTTCTTAAAATCGTTGCCATTTGTTAGAATTTAATTTTTAATATAATTTTATATTTATATGACAATAATTGAAAGCATAAAACTAATCAATAATTAATAAAATAAATCAAAATTATTATTATTATTTATTTATTTTGTGAATATGAAAAGCACCATGGGGTAAATTGTTTTTTAGGTTTCCACTGTTGGTAGCTTAAGTTTGGTACTTGTTTGTTGCTGTTTAGAATCATTATTATTTATTATTGTTATTATTATTAGGTTATTGATAGTACTATTTTTTATATAATATTATTTAATATTTATATTTAAATATTAAATTTAGTACATTAAACTAATAATATTTATTAAAATTAATGCACAAAGAAAAATCACATCACAATTATGCAAATTAAATTTGGATGACAATAATAAATATTATTAATTCTCAATATCATCTTCAACTTGTACATCTTCACTTCAAGTGGTACAATTTTCATCACTTATCTCATTTTCACTGTCATTATTTATGAAACCGATATCATCATCACTAACTCTACTACTTGGCTCCACAAATTGAACAACTTCTGGTTCCACATCCACCCTATGAAGTTCTTCTTGTTCATTAACTTCCGCATCAATATGAAAACTAAATTCATCTGAATTATTGGCTTGATATGCATCATGCATTGTTGATTGATCTTCCTCAATTTTATCAGGAATGTTGTACAAATGCTTATGTTGCACCTTTTGTATAACTTTCCAATTGGCCCTTAATTTAGGATCATCAATGTAGAAAACTTGTTTAGCTTGATATGCTAACACATAAGGATCATCGGCATACCATTTGTGATTCACATTGATGCTTGTAATGTGAAACCCTTCGCACCCATTTCTTTTTAGGTTCAATGTCAAACCAAGTGCCTTTAAACAAAATCACACTTTTGTTATAAATATAATTCACTTTAACAACTGAATCAAGAATTCCATAAAATTTTATCCTCTCACCACCACCACCACCATTATCATTATCTTCAAGTTCCTCATACACTAAAACACCACTATTTTGGGTTGTGAGTCGATCATCATGATCTTTCACAGTGAATCGTACTCCATCAACAATACAAGCAGTATATTTAGACACTCGTCTATTAGGCTTACACGCTAATGAATACAAATCATCAGTAGCCTCAATTGCTCCTTGAGAACGTAACACTTTCATCTATTAAAAAAATGATTAAAATATATGATCAATATAAAAGTTGAAAACCATAAAAAAATAAAAATAAAATAAGACTCCAAAATGTTCGACGACTTACTCGATGTTCAAGTCAGTCAGGAAACATTTTTTGTTGCCTTTTCAAAATTTCAATCTCTGAAATATTAGTGCCTTCACTTTTTCTTCTAGTTCAAGCATGAGCTCACTAAACATTTTTTTTCATAAGATACAACAAAAGATTAAACAAAGTTAAAACATATCATATAAAATGACAAAATAAAAACCTCACAAAAACAAAAAATTTATCAGGTTAGCAAAATATCACTTACTCTAAAAATCACGTAAT